TGAGTGGCTATTTTATCCAATTGCCTTGTCTGTAGGAATGTGGAGAGCGTATTACGAATAAATTAGATACATTAAATAATATTTTATTATCCCGTTTTTGTACCGCAGCCTTTCCTAGTACCGCCACGTAGGGGCGATAAACAGAAAACAGAACTTGTCTGTGATTACCGTGTGTGCTCGTCACATAAATAATATATAAAAATAACAACAAATCGCGTGGCCCATTATCGAAAATCGAAGGAGTTATATTTATCACATAAGTAATCGCTCAAATTCTTAATTAACACACGGACCTTCGATCCGATCTTTCGCCCATATCGCAACGCTATTTACAGATGCAGATAGACCTTATTTCTCATAAAAAATATTAATGCAGCTTTGCGTGGATTGTCGCTCGTCTACTCGACTGGGCGGCAATACTTGACTCAACTTTCCGACTAACGCAGGTTAAGCTTCGAAAGACGTCGCTCGTCCGACCTGCAGTTTCATCACCGATCGTCACAAACGGAGACATATTGCGCATACGACAGATGACTGATTACATCACGATTATTTTACACCCCTCGGAGGGATATATTCGTACGATCCGACCTGCGTTCGCAAACCGAAATAAAAAATAAATTCGCCTCATGTTGACGCGTCATCGACTCGAGAGATTCAATAACTCGTTTTTCGTAATTCCTCCACACTACTGTGATGAGCCGTCGACGTTTACGCTAAGTCACATCAAGTCGCAAAACAATCGTGTACGATCGATCGACTTTCTTTCGCACTTTCGCACCTTTCGCCTGTCCTTCTCGCCAGTGTTTGGACACGGTATAGCAAACGAAGAACCGAGATTTCTGCGTTTCGAAAATCCGTCGACTTACATACTCCGTCATACAAGGAGAGATCGTGCGTGCGTTTCGATCGGCGGCGATCCCAAAAATTTCGGATCGGATCGGATCTTAATCGATCGTATCGAAAACGACAACATACGTCTATGTCGCGTGAACATCCGGTACATCCTCGTCACTAAGAAACTCATGATGACAGAGGGAGAGAGAGAGAAAGCGAGGGGAACAAACGGCGAGCAATCTCATCCCATTCGTGGATGTTGTTGAGCCTGGTGCTGCTGCTGTTGCTGTTGCTGTTGTTGCTGTTGTTGTTGCTGCGCAGAATAATTTCTCTCGGTGTGCTCTCTCTGATCTCTCTGCCATTCGCGGACCTGTGCTACTTCCTTTCTCTGCTGCTCGCTTTTGTTGTGCTGCCGATGGTAGATGCTCTTGTGGTTGCGCAGACTGTTTAGACTGGAGTAAACCCGCTTGCAGATGTTACAGATCGGTTCCTTGCTGGGCCTGGTGTGCACGTTCTGTATATGCCGCTTCAACCGCGTTAGGGAGGTCAGGTTTTTGTTGCACGGCTCGCATCGAAACTCATCGCTCGCGCCGCTGCCGGCCAACAGACCTGGCGGCAGAACCAGACACACAGGGGTTACTACTTTTGTAGGGGTTTTTGGCGCACGGAACGTCGCACGGACGTCGGACAGGTGGACAAGTAGACATTAGACGGGGGCAGAGGAGGGTTGAGATAGACAGAAAGAGAAAGAGAGAGAGAGAGAAAAGAGAGGACATCATCCCCAATGTGCTCCTTTACTTTGTCCTTTTCTTTTTTTCTTTTGGTGGGGGGGGGAGAGGGAGCGGAGGGGTTAGGTTTTTTTTCTAGTCGCAGCCTCTCTCGTCTCTCGCGATCGCACACCACCATTTCACGCTCCTACACCACCATCACATTTAAAAATCACACCACCACAACTTTCGCAGCTGAGAAAATATCGTGCGCCCGTGTGCTCTCATTTTGCCTCTTAGTACTTTATTTTGCGCCTTTATTAATCGAGCATACGTCGTACCACCGTCACCCGACAAGCCGTGCCCAAACTCGTTTACGTGTTATTTCTTAAAACCACCGTAAGTTATGTATGCTTTATAGGTGCTGCCACTGCTGCCTGCGCCTCATTGCGTGACGTAACAATTATCACGAAGGGGAACACCTTCTAACGTACACCGGACGCAACCATTGTCACCGTATATCACTCGTTCTTTTTCCTCCTTTTTCTTTCACTTTCTTTCCTTTTTTTTTTTTTAAGTATTTATTTCCGTATGATCCCGTCGTCTTCTTCGTAAAAATCGACTACGTTGTCATAGTCGTCATCACGATCGTTAATCCTTTCATCACGAGCATTATCGCCAAAGTCATAGTCATTGTCAACCTCATCGTCGGTGTCAAAGTCATGTTACCATTGTCATCGCCTCGATCTCTCTCTTATTCTCATAGCCGCTTAGTCGTCAACGTTATTGTGATTGTTAACGTCATCGTCGCCGTAATCCTCCTCCATTTTCATTCCGATCATTCGTTTTATTTTCGCCGTTTTATTTCGTCTCATCTTCGAAAAAAATCATCAATCTTGCCATTTTTTTATACATAGAGTTGATGTCCAGTATTGTCATAATTGATACCTCCTCACCTTCAACCTCGTCAGTATCAATATTATTATCATCGTTGTAGTAACATTCTAGCCTTCTATTAGTCCGATCATTATCATTTATAACGTCGTAAAATAAACGGTTTATAACCGCCGTTATGATGAGTATCGTCATCGTCCTTGTCTCTGTCGTCAATATTCCTCAGCATTATCATTATCGCGTTCGTCATTCCTGTCTCAATTATTGTCGCTGCTTTCGTTTACCGCATTTGCATTTATACTACAGATAATATCTTGATTTCTCTTTTCTCACAGTTTATTTCATTAGATTTGTATATTTTCATGCGACAGATCTATGTCAAAACGTAAAGTAAAAGATATTCTCATTTATATAAAATTGTATTAACTCCTGTAGCACTTGTTATTAATGTCAAATAATGTGTACAACAAAAAAAATAATTTTACACAGAAATAACATCAAAAGTGCCAAAACATTTTAATAAGAAGTGATAATGTACGACATGTTGATAAATTCATGTACAGTTAATATCTCGAAATTTCAGTGACATTTTCAGATAGATTTTCAATAGAATAATATGGAGTATCAAATGTTGGATTAACATGTTACTGTAACATCTCATACGTTTCTTTCATATGTAAATATTTTTTATTTTACTCAATTAACTGTATAATTACAAAATTAATCAAAAATTTTAATTTTTACGAAACAAAATCAAAGTGTAACATCAATCGAATACGATGACAATGGTGATAATCGCGATGGTCTGTTCCGGAAGGTTTCTCTAACGAGATCCATTTGCAGCACCTCTCAGCTCGTATAATATTTACTTCTTTCGAGCGTAATTAGGATAACACAGTGCAAGCAGTTCCAAAGTTCCAGCGAACGATCGTGAGCGATGAAGTTAGTGTCATGATCACCAAATATAAATATAAATATATATACATATATACATATATATTTATATATATATTTTGGTCGATGCATATTATTTACAGCAAAATAGAGCGTAATATCTCATATATATATATATATATATATATTATATATATTATACATATATATATATATATATATATATATATATATAT